ATTTTTCTGGTGGCCATTGGGGCAAGAGTTTTAAGAACAGTAAGGCAGCCATTATAGGCCAGTTGGAGTCTTGAATGAAGGGCCTTGAAGATGAAGATTAATTCCTTATTTCATAGACATCAGGGCTGGAAGGGACCTCGGAAGATCATCGAGTCCAGCCCCCTGCCCAAAGGGCAGGAAGTCAGCTGGGGTCATAGGATGCCAGCAAGATGAGCATCCAGTTTGCTCTTGATGCAATGAAGAAGAGGGAAAGGGGCAAAAAGGGGGTTAACACAATGGGCTAGGAAAATTATTTCTGCAGCAGCTTTTGGGATGGGCAGGGCAAGACTGCATTTGTCCACTGTAGACAGAAGGAGGTTACAGAAACTGAGAGGTGACAAAATGAGAATTCAAACAAATTTTAGCTGCTTGGAGGGTTAGAGGCCATACCCCAAAGATGCTGCATAGAAAGAGTCTGCAAGTTTTAGAAAACAGCCTGGACGTGAGGACCTATTAGCTTAGTCTCGTCAGAGACCAGGAGGCAGCTCAGGTAACAAGCAAGATGGTGAGACTGTTAACACTGATGGAGAAAGGAAGTAGTGGGGAGGGCTGGGGAACTCTGAGAAGACTAAAAAATAGCTTTGCTTTATCTTGGGCTTCAGCTATCCTTCAGCTGATGGCAAATATTCACAGGATGGTAAGGGAACTCTGAGAAGACTAAAATATAGCTTTGCTTTATCTTGGGCTTCAGCCATCCTTCAGCTGATGGCAAATATTCACAGGATATTTTAGAAAGAAAGGCCAAGATTTCTGTTTGAACAGAAGGTGATAGATTTGCAAGTTATGAGCAGAGGTAGTAGCTGAATTTGTGCTTGCAGATCAGATCCAAGATAACATGCAGAAGAGAAGGCATGTCTCCCCCCACCCCCAAGCCCTATGGAGTTCCTACAGAAAGCTGGCAGATGCTTGAAGAAGAAACAGCAGAGGGCAGAATCATGGACAAGAAGATTTCAAGAGATGGAGCAATATCAACTGTGAAAGCAGCCAAAAGGTTGAAGAAAGTGAGCATGGAGTATTAATCCATTTTCATCCTCACCCCAAATACTGCTCATCAACCCAGGCTGATGCAAACGGCTGAAGTTTTGCAGCAAGCTAGCATCTGTGCAAGAGATATTCGTGCACAGCAGGATGAGCTCAAGCCAAACCCCAAGCAGAAAACCTACACTGAATGGGCCACAAACCACCAAACCAAACCCAAAATGTACAAGTCTGCACACACTATACACAAGGAGGTTTCCTACAGTCACAGCGTCAGCATTTTCAAATGTTTATGCTGCAACTGGCAGAAAGTTATTTAAACACTCATGCAATGCTTTCAGCATGCAGCAGGCTAAATAATGATTTTTTCTTTTGTCTTAATAGTCAGTGCCTTCAAATACCCAATTTATGTACATACCTTCAGCAACTGCTTGTGTAAATTAGGCATGAAATAGCGGGTGCGCTCTTGAAATGCCAAGCCCTTTGTTTTTATCCATCTCTTTAGACTTTAAGCAAACTAATGTACCAGCAAAAACTATTCACTTACCGGCAACGGAAACAACTTTCCATTTACTTTAATGCACAAACTATTGGGATAGTTATCTTCTTGAGGGCAGCTAGTCTCTGCTAGACACAACCTATTTCCAGAAAAAAAGAGTTTTAAATAGCATTATACTCAAAACAACATACATTTGTTATCATTTGGATTAAAATATAGTTATGGAAAAATTCCAATGTAAGAAAAATTCTGAATCACCTCAGCTGAACTTGGACTGTGTAATCCCTCCGGCCCCCAGGCAGAAAGTCTCTGTTGGAAGAGGAGGAGTAAGAGAGAGTCTTCAGTTGGAGAGAGAAATCTTATATTTCATTTGTCACTAAAAACAAAGGATGCCTGCCCTATTATAATCTTAAATTACTTTCAAGACTCAAACTTTCTCTCACAATCAAAACTAATCAAGAATAAAAGAACAAAGCACTTGTAACCAATACTAGCTACTTATACTAAATAAAATATAAGCTAAGCTGCACAGAGAAGCATCGTTTAGTAATAAGAAAAAAAAAAAAACAAAAAACACCTGATTTGTAAACTGAGCATTTAAATCCTCTTAGTTCATCTCGGCTGTAGTCAGTGCTATGCAATTAGCAACCCTGAAACTAGCCAGATCCTGCCATCTTCAAGGCTGCTATTAGGGACAAGGTCTTCTGAGTACCAAGATAAGAATCCTTAATGAGGTGCAAACAGCTGTACTGGGGCTGTTTCTGCAGCATAGCACCCTCAGTTTAAGCGACACCTCCGCTATGGAAGGCACTGGGATCTGGCCAACGTCATCCAAACCAGGGGTTCCCAAACTGCGGTATGCATGCATACCCCCAGAGGTATGCAAGGTCTCTGGTTGGTAAACAGGAGAAATTGTGTAATGGCTGGTTTAATTTTCATTATAATAACTGGCATTTAAGGGGTTAAAATATGAAACATGCTGGTAGGGGTATGCAGGCAGCTGGTAAATCTGGAAGGGGTATGCAATAAGAAAAAGTTTGGGAACGTCAGACCTAAACTATTTTAAATGGTTGTATGTGTTACTCATGGGCATCATAAGTGGCTTATACAGGCCTTCAGCATGGTTCCTCCACTGAGGCCATTTTATAGCTCGTGAGAAGTCTGAAGCCAGTAAAGGAAACAAGCCCCCAGACTGTCAACGATGATAGGAACAACATCCCACCTAAGCAAAGAGAAAATACAAGCTACCATCCTCCAAGTATTCATGACAAATATTTAGGTTTCAGATGATTAGGTCCATCTTATCCAATGCTCTAGTGATGCAGGCTTTTCCTGCATTAAACACAACTTTGTACAAAGAGTAGTTTCAGTGGTTTCAAATAACGGACCTAATCCATCTTACTTAGGAGTGTTGTGCAAGCCAAGTAGTTGAGAAAGATTTTTATCACAAGTTACCCTGAAATTCTGCAAATCATCTATTGCACAATTACAAAAAACTAAAAAACCCAAAACCCAACAACCCACATACATACCATGCACTCTCCTCTTACCTGGAAATGCAGATTTCTCTGACCTGCTGAGGTGTTAGAGCAAAAATAAAAAACTTTTCTTGGAACCTCTGAATACTGCTCTGTACTGAAAGAGAAGAAATGCAAAACAAAATTTAAACAGGATGGTCCACTACCAAAAGTCTAAATAGCAGCAAGGGCAGTACAGTAGCACCCTGCGGTGTTCTTCTGGGACAAAGGACTAGGACACTTAAAGATCACAGTGTTTTTACCAGTGAAGCAGCAAGGGTATGACCCACTCAACTATGTGCAGATGGCTTAATACATTAAACTACACTCAAGACAACTCCTATATGGGCAATCCAGTTCCACTCTACATACATTCCCAAATAGGTCAGTAAACACAAAACTGTGAGTGGGGTAATACATTAAATTACGCTCAAGACAACTCCTATATGGAGCAATCCAGTTCCACTCTACATACATTCCCGAATAGGTCAGTAAACACAAAACTGTGAGTGGGGCCTCTCTGCCACTTTCTAAGACTTTGCCTTACAGCTAAAATGAAGGAGTGCTATAAAAGTTTGTGTGTTAATGGCGTTTCAGGGATTCAGGCAGAGTGAAACAGAATTGCATTTATGTACCATGCAGATGCCCTATTACACAGAGTAGGATCAGGCCCTTCATACTAAAGCAGGGGAATTTTTCCTATTTTTACAACTGTGACTCAGTACATTTTAAATTCTAAAATTCAGAACAGATTACACAGTTAGTGTTCCAGGACTCTGGCTTTGCGTGGTCTCTTGATGGCTTGCAGAACAGCAAAGATGCATTTCCACAGTTTCTTGTAAAATGGAATTAAAGTCTGAAGCACTTCAGAGGGCAGTTATAAAGAGATGAACTGCTGGTGGCCAGATGGAGAGTAACAATTCACTGGAAAACTTTGATGCTAACAGCGGCTGAAGGAAGTTACACTCCTCAAGAATTTCAGTCTCTCATGCTAGAGAAAGCCAGATGGACTAAATGTGTCTATGGAGAGCATTAGGAACACTGGAGGTTGAGACAGCAAGGGGCGGCGGGGGAAGGGGAAGAGAGAAGAAACGGACAGTCTGAAACGCACATCCCACAGGATGGCCACCCAAGCAGCTCCACGACACCATATACACCATGCATCCCAAAGTGGGTGCCATGTGGCCTGGGACTGCACTCTATGTGACACCCACTTCAGCCACTCCAGGATCTGTATTGCATGTGGCGGAGGTCCCACAATGGCTGCACCAACCACCAGATTAGGTATGCTGGGGGTGGGGGAGGAAAAGGGGAATGGAAGGGGGTTCATGGGCTAGATACAGCCCATGGGTCAGCCCTGAGCCACAGGCATGTCATGCCTTGTGTGGGTCTGATCAGACCCAGGGACACCACTGGGGTCAGACAGCAGGGCTCTGCAAGCCATGTGTTTGATACACTTGGTCTAGAGGGAGACATCTTGGAGATCTCTTGAAAACCCTTCTGGCCCTCCAATTCTGGGTCCTTCGCCTGCACAGGCTCTCCTAGGCCCCCTTGCACTGTGTCATCTTACCTTGGGGGGGGGTGGGGGTGGAAATGAGGGAAGCAGGAAACCAAAAGAGACTGTGGCAGGTGTTGCAGGTTGGGGCGGGGCAGGAACACCTTGGCACAAGCCCATGGGCTACCAGGTGACTCCTTGCAAGCTGCATGCAGCCCATGAATCGGAAAGCCTCGGTAAGTTGTCAGGGTTCTTCTGTTTGTCATTTGCTTACCAATCCCCCCTGGGACTTGGACAATACATGGATATGTGAAGCTTGTAACAAGTTGTGTCACTCCCCAGGAGTGACAAGAAATAACGGTGACAAGCTGGCAGAGGGTAGATTTAGACTAGATATCAGGAGGCGCTACTTCACTGTCAGGGCGGCTAGGATCTGGAACCAGCTTCCAAGAGAAGTGGTGCTGGCTCCTAACCCTGGGGGTCTTTAAGAGGAGGCTAGATGAACACCTTGCTGGGGTCGTTTGACCCCAGTACTCTTTCCTGCCATGGCAGGGGGTCGGACTTGATGATCTACTCAGGTCCCTTCCAACCCTACCAGCTATCAAACTATGAACTCCTGAATTGGGCTCGTCAGCCACAAGTGGATTCATCAGGCACCTGACAGGACCTCTTATACATGAACCATGATCCAGAGGATTGAGAGTTGCCTGTATACCAATCCCCACTTCAAGCATACACACATGAACACAGACAGAACAGGTAACCAGCTTGGGCTGCAGCCACATCACCATGCTCTGCCCCACTGCCCTTTCAGGACACACAACTTCTCACATCTGAATTTGGGAGTCTGAAGATAAGGATGAGTTCAGTTAAGGTCTCCACGTATTCCCAGAATAAGTGCTCCTGTTACCAAGAGACAAGCCATATTTCAAGTGCACATTTTGTAAGAAGCCCCCTGTTGCACGCAGAACCCCACCATGCAACTTTAACTGCCTTCATGGGGATGACAGCACACCCCCTACTCCAAAAAAAATAAAAATGCAGTATTTCCCAAAACAACAGGACTAATTATAAGAAGTTCTCTTACACACTGCTGGCATCTAGCTGCGAGTTGTGGAGATGGAAAGAATAAAGTGTAAATGTGTCCAGCAAGATATCAACCTGCAGTCATTTTTTTTCCAACTCCTGTACAGGATGCACTCCTGCTGGACTGTGCAAGCAGGGTTTCAGACCCGGCAGGGGTGTTGCACATCAGGTAGCAGAGAAAGGAAGGTAGTACTGTTACAGTCCACATTTCTCCTGTCCTTCTCATGGCAGAGCAGTGTTGATGTTTTCTTGTGTGAAATGGCATCAATGCAGCACCACATCAGCCCCAGATATTTCAAAATATGAAAGCGATTTAGAATCCTGCCAGCAGGAGGATTCGGCTGGAGCACATACCAAATATGAACAGTAATTAGAGCACTGGGTCTCTTACAGGTTAGTAACTAAAACGGGTTCCTAGTGGGGAGGAACTGGCCACCAGATTTCTCCAAACCAAAGGAGATTTCTTTTTTTGCTAACGATACACATTTAATAAACAGTTCTCTCCTCTCCATCAGTTTGACAATTTATGCAGATATATCTGCCAATCTCGTTTACAGGATGAGCCTGGACTGTAAATACACTTAGAATCTGAAGTATGAGCAAATATCAATATATGCTTTATTTGGACCACAAGGGTAAAAGAGGGGGTTACTGTCCCATTAAAAAAGGTGTTTTGATGACGAGATGGTATTTGATATAGTATTGAAAAACAGGGGGAAAAAAAAAAAACAGCCAGAAACAAAACGTCAACCCACAAGCCTGATACCCACCAGAGAGAAGAGGGAGAAAGGTTTGGTTTGAGGCTACAACTTTTAATCCAGCAGTGCTTTCAGATTTTGGCCTACTTCTCAACATGGGACTACCCACATGCTGCTGCTCCCTGATTCAATCGGATCAAGTCTATCCTTGTTACCTCTACTTCTATTGTAATTACTTCAGGCCCCTTTGCCATTTGGTTCTATAATTTTAAAATGTTAAGTGGATCAGCTGCATTTATGAATAAATACCTCCTAAACGCACGAACAGTGTTTTTTGTTTGACTGGATTAGAAGGTGTACACATTTAAAAAAAACAAAAAAACCCAAAAAAAACAACAACAACAAAAAAACAAACAAAAAAAAACAAACCCACACACTCCAGGAAATCTGTACTGGGCTACAAAGAAACAGCCCTAGGCAAACATAAATATTTTATACTTTAACAGAAACGCCTTCATGGAACTTCAAAAATATCACGGCGAGACTTGCATCTGATGAGTTCAGCCACAGTGAGAACTGGTACAATAACCACAATGCTACTTCTACTACAAGTGTTTGTGCAATTATTCACCTCACTGCAAATCAAGATCTAGACCATTCAAGAAGTTAACCTAAGGCTAACATGCTTTGGACAGCAGTGCAGGGGGTGAAAGTGGAGAAATCAGAAAATGGGTATACTGCGTGCACATGAAGGTTACACCCACCAACTGGAAAGAAATGGTTTAGAGTACCCGATTAACAGTAATCCAATAAAACATGCTGGTATATAACAGGTGGACTGCATTTACATCCTTGGGTAAAGTGATTCTATATCCACTTACAGTATTTTTTTTCAAGCCTTGTCAATTAAACACAGTACTTAAGAATTAGAAAGCAAGTGCAAGGTAACATACAGCTTTGGAAACAAGAATCTAAAAATTTGATGCAAGTTGAATCAACGTTGAAAAAAAATAAATAAATGAACACACTATAAAAAAAAAATCTGGCTATTTAAGGGGGATAAATAATTCGAAGTCTTAGTTAAACACACAACATTACTCAGTACTTGATGTCAATGACAGGTTGGAGGTGAACAAGTCACAACCAGCATTCAACTTGTACATGGTATACCACTGTAAAACCAAACATTTTATATGTGCTTTAGTTGTGATGTTAGAACAAGGACAGACTTGACATACTCTTTACTGTACACAAAAGCTACTTAATTGTAACCTCCCTGTAAGAAAGTTAATTTGCCAATTTTGACAAGTTCCTCCTGACCCTGTAGTACAATTGGTTCTTACTCCACATGGATTAAAAGTTACTTTCCAAAAATCCATTCCCAACTGATAAAAGTTGCCCCTTCTTCCCCCACAGCACATTATACTGATCACAAGAAACATTTGGTTAGAAAGGTCAGGTTGGAAGTAATTTATTGAATCTTTTGAGGCAGAAGAGAAATAAATAAATAAATAAATAAATATATAAATAACTGCACATTAGTGCTTCTGAAGTGCCAGTTACGACAATTTACAAAGTGCCATGCAGAATTTTGCATCTTTACAAATGGAAACGTTTGCCTCTCTGCAAGCATCCGACTTGGAAAGTGAACTATTTGAAGGCTTGCATGTTTATGGATCAGATGCAATGATGAAGATGGTGGCTGCTAAAACGAGTCTTTGTAAAACAGTCCTATGGGGCGCTTAATTTAAAACTAAACACTTACCCAAACTTGTAGGTTTGATGAGGACATCGAGCACATCATAAAAAGGGAGGGTTTTTAGCTGAACATCAGGATGGACAGGTGGAGCTGGAGGTGACGGCTGCTGCATCTCAAAGTGAGGTTTAGTGTCTTGAAGGAGGACAGAACCAACAGGTGATGAAGGGGACTGAGGGGTGACCGAAGTCGAAGGTAGCGGATGGATTCCAGCAACAGCCAAGTCGGGATCTACTGGTGAAGAACTACTGTCCAAGTTGAAAACTGAAGGTTTTAGAGCTGACAAGTCAGTCAGACTTTCAATTGTCCTCGGGTACCGACGCCTGTAGAGTTCTCGGATTTTAAGCTGAACTGCTGGGCTGCAGCCACTCTTCAGCAAGTGCAGTGCCCTCATCAGGAGGTCATGTTTCCGTCCACTCTTATTACGTCCTGCAAAGCCCAATAGCACTTGTAGTTCAGATACCCGAAAACTTGATACCATATTCTGGAAAGAGGAGAAACAAGTCAGTGCAGTACTCCTGACATATAAAATACGCAGCTGCATACGATACATGTAAGTTTCATATATGAAATTCAAGTTTCGTATTTACTCTTTCAGAATTGGTAATCTTTCCACCCTTCCCTCCCCTCAGTATGCCTCTGCCTCAAGTATTTCATCAATTTGAGTAGCCCCCTGCCAATCCAACTAGACAAATGCTTCCCATAGTGGGAGTGCACCAAGGACTACCTGGTGAGAAAGTGAAGTGTGAGCTTCAGCTGCACTCCCAAAAAAAGTGTCTCATTTTTCCTTTAAGAGTGTCTCTAGCTTGTCTTTCAAACAACCCTTGGGGAAGAAAAAAAAAAAAGTGACCCAAGCAAACCATGCTGCTGTATGTACCTGGAGCTAGAAGGAAACCTGAAACGCCAGCTCTGATAAATGAACTGCTTCATTTATTTCTACAGATGCTAGCTCAGATGATGGCAACGACTATAAAACAACATCAGTGATGGTTTTGTTGCTCAAAGCACCTTAAAAGCTGGGAAGCATTACCACATTTTGAAGACTTACCCAACTGACTCTGAGTATCTATTCACTTTGGGTGGGCCTTTAACACACAGTAGGCTTTATCCTTTGAAAGGGAAGCTCAACTTTCAAGCATGGGGGAAGCCCCCACCTAGGCTGTCATCTTAATAAGCATGCAACTTGTCACATCAATATTGTAACACTCAACATTAGTGGATTTTGCAGAGTAAAAGTAAATGCAAGGACAATCAGTGCTCATCCAATAATAATTTTTCCAGGGTTTTCTTTAAAATGTTCCCACTACTTCCGAGTGCCTGCCACAAAATACTTCCTACACAGTGGGTACGTCTACACGAGATGCACAGTAGAATTAGTCTACTGTGTATTTAGCATTAGCAGAGTTTTTGCCTGCCATGTTAACATGCAGTAGATGTAGTCTACCGTGCATTAGCATCACAAAAAAGTGTACGCCAGCACTAATATGCAGTAGCCCCGATTAGAGTGCACTAAGTTAACTACCTATTATTACAAGTACTAAATGTAATGTGTCGTAATTACAGCTCATTAATGAATACGTAGACACACCGAGTATTTTATTACAAACTCACTAATCCTCAACATTTTCTAGAATATGAGATCAGGCAAAAGAAACGCTAACATCTTCATGTGACATACCTGATCAAGTCCCTACGCCTCCTATTATCATGACGAAGTAAAACAACTGAAAGATAGCATGGTTTCAGTTCATTTAACTCTGTGAAAGCAAGCCCTCTGTCTAGACCTGTATATTCTCATTGTCAGCTTCTCATGTTTGTGTGGGACTCTTCCATAGCAACAGGACTGTTTAAAAAAGAGGAATGAGGCTGCAAACCAGCAAAACCTGGATAGTCACTTGATCCGAATTGACCAAAGCAACCCCCGCTTCTGACACACACACACACACACACACACACACACGCCTGCCCCCCGACTTAAAGTTTATTTTACTTCAAAGAAAAAGTTAAAAGTCAAATTTAATCCTTTTTAAAACAGACTGAAGACCACAAAAGGAAACATTTAGAAACTGGTATTAGAGCTCCTTTACTCTTGGTTCCCTACCAAACTCTTCAGTGAGCTGCATCCCACTCCCAGACAGTGAGCTCTCCTGGACAAGCAGGACAAAGGGACGCACATGGAAACACCTTGGAAGTCTTTCTTTCTACCTTGCTATGGCTTCCTACAGTCAAACTGTAGCGCTGAACACCCACCATTTTCAGTAACCCCAACTGAAGATTTAGGTTTGCATCACCTCTGAGTCAACCCATGTGTGTTTATTTTCCCCTTTACCATTAACCACTCAAACTCAGTTTTGTCCATGAATATTCACAAGTTATACATCTCAAGTCGAACGTGCATTTTCCCAGACCAGCTGTGCTCAACCTTTTGGTACCATGGGCCAGAGTGAGGAACGGTTCACCTGCGGGTAAGATCGAGCTCCATGCACTAGGCACTACTCCCTTCCACCCTCCTGTTGCAGGATCAGTCCCCAAGGGGCTGGCACAGTCCCCTCCTGCCCAAGTATGCTGGGATTGGATTCTGGGGGCCCAGCACCACCCCCTGCCCACCCAAATTGGCCTGCAGGGGCCTGAAACCACCCCCTTCCACCCCAGCGCACCAGGACTGAGTACCAAAGGCCTGGCACTGCCCCCTCCCTCAAAACTCCTACACACCAGGACTGGGCCCTGGGGCCTGGCACCACCCTGGCTGGCCCAGCACATTAGGACTGGGCACCCTATCCTGCATGCAGGGCCTGGGGCTCCCCATAGGTCTGGAAATCTGGCAGTTGGAGAGGTGCCACCATGATCCTGGGCTCCCCCTGCACCAGCAAGGAGGACATGATTGGGATGCGATCCCTGATCCCAAAACCACATGTTCTGCCATGCATGTGTGGCTTGGAAAGAGGTGCATTCATTGGAATTGGGGACAGATGTGGGGTGGAAAATTTTTCTGTGGGAAATTTTCCATTTCTAAAAATTCATTGTTCTATAAAAATTCATTAGTAACAATGAATGGATGCCAATACAATATATTAGGCAAGCTTGGCAGTTTCAAAAGTTGTAATTAATGTTTTTCAGGTGAGTATCCCTAGGAAGTGAGAGAGAGAGAGAGAGAGAGAGAGAGAGAGAGAGCATAAATCAGTAAAACATATATAAAACAGGAGGGTAAATACACTCGCATAAAAATCCAAACCAAAAATCAAGTTATGAATTCACATAGTTGGGAGCGCGCATAAATCAGTAAAACATATATAAAAACAGGAGGGTAAATACACTCGCATAAAAATCCAAACCAAAAATCAAGTTATGAATTCACCTAGTTGGCTGTGCAGGTCAAATCAAAAGCAAAGCAAAGCATGTCATGCACAGTTCTTTGGGTATGCTGAAATTAGTGTTTCAACAGTTTTCAGTGCCTTTTTTTCTTTCTTTCTTCTTTTCCTTAAAATGTAAACAATGTAAGGGAAGTGCATGCTATTGTGTATCATCTTTACATTTTTACAAGTATCCCAATAAAAATAATTTCTTTCCACGTAAAGCTTTGAATTTGTTTGAACATAAAACATTTAAACCACAGTAAGTGCGCTGTATTTAAATTGATTTCCTAATCAAATTTTTCAGTTCAAATACTTGTTTATTGGGACATAAAATTACCATGGGGTACTTTTTCAGTTTTGTTTACTAAAAGTAAGTCAAATAAACATGCTAAAATTGGATCACGCTCTATTTAGGGCATTGGAAAATTTTCCAATTCAATATTTTCTGGAAAACCCACATCTCTGATTGGGGACCATCACACCTTTAAACGAATGTTTGTCACCAGCCTGAGTATTTGGAAAGTAATTCAGCGTATGGAATGGTCTTGGGCATTTGTGACATCTTACTGATGGGAATTTCCCACTAACCATAAGGCCAAGAGAAGTTAACAAAAGGGAACATGAGATCACATTGATTTGGACACACAACAACAACATTTGAAGACTTCCTTGCTTTTTTGGACACACAACAACAACAACAACATTTGAAGACTTCCTTGCTTTCCTCAAAATAGTGAGCCCTGTAACTAGCATGTTTTCTGCCATTTTGTCCAAAATAGATAGATACTTCAGAGCTGTTTAAGTCTGTAATCAACCTGCTAATTTTAGAGTTGTTATCGGTTGATCTCAGAAGTCCAAGATGGCAAACGCCTCTGATCTAATACCACACTGTTTGCTACCAACTTTAAAAACAAGCAAGAGATTTCACTTTTCACTCAAGAAGTCTATGGGCCAACAAGAGGCAAAGCGCTGCTCGACCTGGTACTGGCTACTGGGGATGACCTAGTGATCGATGGGAAGCTGGGTGACAGCGACCACGAGCTGATCACCTTCACCATC